GCTGGTAATGAGTTTGTATTTGATAAAGGGAATTAAAGATCTGAAGTTAGTGGCATTTATTTTTCATGCTATACTCTTCCAAGGTGTTTGGGAAAAAAAGTACACATAAAAATTTAAATATGCTATACTGTTGACATGTTCATAACTGTTAACTTTCTAGGCAATGTTCTGAAGGTTTTCCTCTTTGGTGATCCGAAGATGGGGGAACTAAAAGTCCTATTCCCATCGCCATACTTAGAAAACAGACAATCTGATTATGCCTAGAGTTGTCAAAATGTGGAGGCAATGTGTGAAAAACGGAATATGCTCATCTTTCAGACAGAGCTGTGATGTATAGACATGGGTGCAGGTGGGTAACTGGGTCAGCCTCCCCCACGCCTTCCAAATAAAGCTTGGAGAACTGAGCTGGGCAGTCTGCACCAGACCTACGGAACTGTCTCGGAGCCCTGTGGGTCATGTTACCTCTCAAATCATCTCCACAGGCGTGGGTCTCATTTGTCTGCTTTTGAGACAGGGTCTCCTGTAGCCCAGGCTGGCCTCAAACTCACCATGCCTCTACCTCCTGACTATGGGAATGCGAGCCACCTGCATTTATTTGGGGCTAGGATTAAACTCTGGGATCTGTGCACACTAGGCAAGCACTAAGAGCACCCCCAACTTCTAACTTTTTGTTTGAAGACAGGATCTTGGTATGTTGCCTAGGCTCGTCTCAAAACTTAAGGGTTTAAGTGACCCACTCACCTCAGCCTCCTGAGCTGCACCAACAGGTGTGTGCCGCCGAGCCTGCTTTTGCTCGGGGTTTGTTCCAAAACCTTCCTAGACCTCTCTGGGCCCAGATACGTGTTCTAGAGCTTCAGTATTCTGCCGTGAAGAAGGAAGGTCACACACTCACTCTGTATTCTCTCTAGGTGGCTGTCCCGTCTCTATGCTAGATAACTTATCATTTGCACATCAACAGTTTGCTTGTTTTTTAGACAGGGTCTCACTATATAGCCTTAGATGGCCCGGAGCTCACTGTATAGACTAGGCTGGCCTTGAACTCTGCCTGTCTCAGACTTTTGAGGGCAGGGGTTAAAGGCATGTGTCACCATATTTTTGGCCCCTTGGCTAATTTCTAGCCAAATACTTTCCTTCGATTTCCAAATGTTTCTTTAACTACTCATACTTTGGTTTATTTATTTATTTATTTATTTATTTATTATGTATACAGTCTTCTGCCTGCATGCCAGCAGAGGACACTAGATTTCATTCAAGGTGGTTGTGAGTCACCATGTGGTGGCTGGGAATTGAACTCAGGACCTCTGGAAGAAGAGTCAGTGCTCTTAACCGCTGAGCCATCTCTCCAGCCCGTACTTTGGGTTCTAATAACGGGATGCCTCAGGGCCAGAGAGATGACTCAGTGGATAAAGTTGCCTGTCAAGCCTGACATTTGGCTGGACAGTGGTGGCGCACACCTTTAATCCCAGCACTCGGGAGGCAAAGGCAGGCAGATCTCTGTGAGTTCAAGACCTGCCTGGTCTACAAGAGCGAGTGCCAGGACAGACTCCTCCAAAGCCACAGAGAAATCCTGTCTCAGAAAAAAAAAAAAAAAAAAAAAGCCTGATGTTCACATAGTGGAAGGAGAAAACCTACTCCACACATGTGCCATGGCACGTGCAGAGAAGGGGAAGGAGAAAGAAGAAGGCACAAACACCACACACACACACACACACACACACACACACACACACACACACACCATACACACCCCACATGCACAGAAGAAAGCAGTCGATGTTTCCATATAAATACAAGGAAAAGACGTCCTTTCTGGATATCTCAGCTTAAAAGGTGTCAGTTTTCCAGACCAAAGGAAAAACCAAGACGGTGGGAAAGGCTAGCCACTCCCACACAACTAGCTAGCCATGTAGCCCAGGCTGGCCTCAAACTCATGACGATCGAGCATTTTCCAGGATTGTAGGAGTGCACTGCCACATCTGGCAAGAATGTTTGGCTTTATTTGTTGGTTTGAGATGGGGTCAGAACAACATGCAACCTAGACCCCCCAAACAGGGTAACCCAGGTCTTTACAGCCAAATAATGGCTCAAGAGGACTAATGGCAGGAAATATGAAGAGGACTCAAAGGGACAGTGGCAGGAGGGATTTTGGGGTGTTGGGTACTCAGTGAAGGGGGCAGAAGACTGACAGGTCATAAAGACATGTTATGATGACCCAACTTAACTCATTCATTGCCTTCAAATATGCCATCCCAAGGTGTTGTGGAATATTACTTTAACCTTGTAAAGGTGTGTTACATTTGTTATGCTATATTTGTTTAACTATGTAAAGATGTGTTGCTGTTTCACCTTGCCTGCCTAAGGCACCTCACTGATCTAAAAAAAAAACTGAACAACTAACAGCTAGGCAGTAGAGGGATAGGCGGGGCAGGCAGGCAGAGAGAGTAAGTAGGAGGAGGAATCTAGGATCAAGAGAGAATGAGGAGAAGAAGAGAGAATGAGGGTGAAAGAGAGGGAGATGCCCAGAGCCAGCCAGCCAGACTCGGAAGAAGCAGGAAAAGTAGGATGCACATAATGAAAGGTAAAAAGCCCTGAGGCAAAACATAGAGGAAGAGAAACAGGTAAAAGTAAATTATAAGAGCTAGTGGGGCTGGGCGTTGGTGGCCCCCCCACCCCCGCCCCCGCCCCCGCAAAAAAAGAGCTAGTGGGACAAGCATTAAGATAAGGCTGAGCATTCATAATTAATAAGTATCCAAGTATCCAAGTCATGATTTGGAGGCTGGTGGTCCAAGAAAGCCTGCTATGCCAAGGAACCTAAAAGGCTATGTTCTCAGTGAAGTTAAGACCCACTTGTGTCAAGACTGGAGAGACAGCCTGGCCATTTGGAACACATGCTGCTCTTTCAGAGCATCAGAGTTTGGTTCCCAGCTGCCACATCACAAACACTGCAGCTCCAGCTCCAGGGGATCTGACACCCTTTTCTGGCTTCTGTGCGCACACACACACACACATACACACACACACTAATAAGAAATATTTTTTTAAAAATAGCTTGTGCTGGGGCTGGAGAGATGGCTCAGAGGTTAGGAGTACTGGCTGCTCTTCCAGAGGTCCTGAGTTCAATTCCCAGCAACCACATGGTGGCTCACAGCCATCTATAATGAAATCTGGTTCCCTCTTCTGGTGTGTGTATACATAATAAATCTTTAAAAAAATAGCTTGTGTTGGGGCTTGTGGTGTAGAGCAATGGTAGAATGCATGTTTAACACACACAATGCCCTGGATTAACCATAGCACCAAAGAGAGGAGGGAAAAAGGTGTGAAAATGTCTGCTCAACTCATTCCCTCATAGTCTGTGAAAAGCAGGAATAATCTTTTTGAGATTTATTTTATGTGTATGTATTTTGCCTGCATGCATAATGCCCATGAGGGGAGGGTTCAGAAGGGAGCATCAGGTCCCCTGGAACTGGAGTTAGACAGTTGTAAGCTATCATGTGGATGCTGGGAACGGAAACTGAGTTGTTTGGGAGAGCAACAAGAGTTCTTAACCACTGAGCCATCTCTCCAGCCCTACCACTTTTTTATTTAATTTTTGAGACTTGGTCTTACTATACATAGCCAGTGGATATACTGGTATAATTGTTCCATAGACCAGGCTAGCCTCTAGTTTGTGGTGGTTACATAGACCAAGCTACCTTCTATTTGTGGTGGTTATGTAGACCAGGCTAGCCACTAGTTTGTGGGGGTTACATAGACCAGACTAGTCTCTAGTTTGTGGTGGTTACATACACCAGGCTAGCCTCTAGTTTGTGGGAGTTATGTATAACAGGCTAGTCTCTAGTTGTGGTGGTCCTCTTAGGTGTTTCAACCACAGGCATGTGTCACACAGCCTGGCTCCTGGCTGGAATCTTATTCCTGATGCTTCTGTCACAGATTTGCACCAAGCCACCCGGATCTTGCAGTTTTTACTTCATCTGCAAGGTCTCATGTCTGTACACGTGAGTCCTGTCCCTTCGCTCTCCCTGACCTCTGATCTAGTTTACAGCCTACTGGAACCTCTATGAATGATACAGGGTAGGAAAGCAAGCCTATGAATTTATAAAGAATTATGATGTATGCATTTATTTAGTTGGTTAGACAGGGTCTCACATAGCCCAAGCTGGCCTTAAACTCATTCTCCGGCTGCCACCTCCCAAGGGCTGGGATTGCAGCCATGCATCACCATGCCCAGCTTTTTTGTTTTTATTTTTGAAATGTGTGGACAGAATGATATCAGTGACTTAACTTAGCTATGCCCGGCCTCATGACCACAGCTACACAGGCATTTCTGGGAAGTACAATTCTGCTTCTGCCTTCTCTCTGTCCATAAATCACCTGAGTATCAGTTGGTCCATGGGCCTCTTCACCAGGTCAGGAGGGCTCACAGGTGTGAAACTGGGGAAAACTTCTGCTTCCCTGGCCCACTGTGTCTAAGCAGCTCCCTCATGGAGAGAGGAGCTCTATCTCAAATATACACAGCTCGGCTGGCATCATAGGCTTTCTCACTGGTTTGTCACAAATTTTTAATTCTAGGGTTTAATTTTATGTTTTGGGGATCAAGTTCAGGTTGTCAGCTTTGGTAGCAAGTGTCTTCACTGTCTTGCTGGCTCTATTATTTTTTTAATACCTCATATTTCATTGATCTCATCTATGGTGTGTAAAGAAAGTAAATAAATAAAACCACAAAGCCTCAAAGTAAATGAAATCTAGTAAGGCTCCCACAAAGTCCAGGCAAGACCACCCTCCTTGCCAGTTTCTGCCAGTCTCCCTGGGGTCCTCCTTCTGACGCTGTGCACACAGGCTGTGCTTGCCAGGCTCTGGGCAACTGCTGACTCGTGCTTCCTCTGGGATCCCACAGCCTCCAACTCTCCTGCCACTGAGTTGGGGCAGCGTCACCATCTCCCGCCTGTGGGACCTGCCACCCAGTCCCTTCCTAGACCTGACCCAGCTGTCCCCAAGCCCACCTGGAAGACGTCATTGGCACACTTGCGGCACAGGTTGTGCTGGCAGGGCAGGATCACCACGGGCTTGGAGAACATCTCCAGGCAGATGGGGCAGATGAGCTGCTTCTCCAGGTTGTCCATGTTGTGTGCATCCCCTAGCAGCGGCTTGAAACCCACGGTGAAGTTCATCCCTTGGCGCTCTAGTGCCTGCCTTGGCCCTGTTTCTGGCCTTCTCTCGCTGCCTGTGCACACTTCTTGTAAACTTTAGGCTGTCTGTGGATTCTTAGGATCCCTGATCTTGCTCCCTCTTGAAAGGGTGATGTTTCCTGTTTCTCTCCCTCTAACGGCCCCTCTCACCCTGGCTATTTCCAGACGCTTCTGTCTGCACTCCCTGTTCAGAGCCGTCTCCACAAACTTGTCCCTTTAGCTCCCCCTGAGAAATTCTCTTGCTCCCCCAAACCACCCTCGTGCTCACTCTACAGGCAGTACTCTTTGTCCCTTGCTCGCTAGAGAGGTTAATATTACTGTGGGGGTAGGGAGACAAGGGGCATTTGTGTGACATTCCAGTTCCCAATTTAGCTCATGTAAGGCGAGCCACAGCTGTCCCGGACTGAGTGACCCTGACTCACTCAGCTGGTGGCTTTCTTGAGCAAGAAGAGCAGCAGGGGTGTCACTGCTTTCAGTGGGTGGTGGGTCAGTGTGGGGCTCACTTGTCACTGGGAAGGTTCCTGCAACCTCTGCTCTCCGTGTTCTGGCTTGAGACCTTCTTCCTAACAGAAACTAGCACATGGGAGAGACAGCACACATGGCTCAGGGTGGGAAGGATGGTCTGGACGGATCTACAGACTTCTGTCTCTCCCTTTTATACTGAGCATTGATCCTGACCCTCCTCCTGGAGACTCAGGATTCAGAAGTGGAACTCCAGACCCTACAAAAGAGAACTTCTTGTCCCATATGTCTGGTCCATATTTGTTCTTGTTCAGCCTTAAAAAAACAACTACATTTATTTACTTTAGGGAGGGGTAGGTATGACATGGAGCATATGTGGAGGTCACAGGTCACTGACAGGAGTCACTTCTTTTTCTTCAGTGTGGGGGTTACAGAAATCAAACTGAGGTCATCAGAATTGGTGACCAATGCCTTTACCTATTGAGCAATCTAGCCACAAACTTCCCTCTCCCTTATTAAAGACAGGCTCTCAGTAGATTAGGTTAACCTTGAATTCACTGTCATCAAGGATGACCTTGAACTCCTGATCCTCTTGACTCTACATCCAAAGTGCTAGGATTAGGGGAGAACACCATTATTCCCAGTTTACGAGGTTCTGGGCGTCAACTCGGGGTCTTTTGTGTACTAGAGAAGCACTGTGCTTACTGAACTACATCGCCCTTGGATGGCCAGTTATATCATCCTAGGAGAGCAGCTGAAGAGGCAAGAGATGGCTGCTGTGCCAGCCCAGGCCTGCCTTATGATCAGGGCATGAGAGTGTGTGATTCTGGTCTACCACTGAAGCCATTTCAGGGACGCTAAATTTGCTTAGAATCTGAGACAGTAGTGGACTGGAGATGTCTCAATGGTTAAGACAGTCTCATGAGGAGTGGAGTTCAGATCCCCAACACTCACAACCACCCTTTACCACAACTCCGAGTGACTCAGCGCCCTCTTCTGGCTTCCACAGGCATGCACAGACAGATGTGCAGACCCATTTACACAGACACACACATGCAGACACACACACACACACACACACACACACACACACACACACATATAAAAAAGGAAAAGTGTGAGAACAGATGTGGCTGGAAACATTCCGAATGCTGCAGTTGTCTGGAACACCAGTGAACCAGTCTGCAGAGCAGTCTCAGGACACTGACAGAGGCACCACCACTGGGCATCTTTGACCCCTGGCTCCATTGTGATCAACTCTACCGACCATGGCAGCCTCATCCCAGGCCTGAGCAATAATCATTGATCTTTTTCTCTATCCCCCACACAACTTGGACACAGTGGAATTGGACAAGGCTTTTTTATTATTGACATTCTTAACCCTTCTTCCAATGAGGGCAGAGAAGTTTGAGGGTTCCTAGGCCCTGACCTCACATGAATAAGAAAGAAATGATGAAGAGGATACAGAGAGGATGCCAAGCCAACAACACACAAAGGCTACAGTGAAGTTGTGAGTACAGTCTGTCCCCATTCCACTCCATGCCCCCGTGTTAAGAAATGATATATGGGGATCAACCTGCATGAGGTGTCGTGAAGGATGGAGGCGGCAGGCACTGGTGCGTGGGCTGCAGCCCGTCCACAGTCCACGGCTGGTGATGGGTATAGGACTGGGGCTGAAGTCCAAGGGGAAACCACAAACCTCAAATGCACTCACATATTTCCCATGCTGTCTTATGAAGGGGGTGTCAATGCCAATGGTGAGGGTACCAGAAGACCAGCCTCCTAAAGGTGTATTGCTAAGAAATGAAGTGAGCTCTAGAAGTTCTTGGTACACAAAGTTGTAACAAAGAAGGATTAACTGATCCACCAGGTCTTGGGACAGGAGCCAACTTGCTTGGTGATTAGGGTCTTGGTGAAGTTAATCAGCAAGGGCTCAGGGGCCCCACCTGACATCGGCAACTACCCAGGCATGCACTGGAAAGATTATTCAAGAAATGCCTGCCACCATGGCCTGAGACCTCGTGTGGCTAAAACTGGGAAGGGAGCTAGAGCTAAAAAGATCAGCTCAAGGCTCTGTGAGGACAGGCTCAGCCTACTGACGGCAGGATGTGGCCCTTTCCAGGACAGATGTCGTCATGACTTCTGAAGCAGGGTTTTTTTGTTTTTTTTTTTAAGAACAGGAGTCAAATCAGGGTCAATGTCAGCACAGGGCTACTTGCTTCTCTTTTCAATGTGTCCAGAGGGCTGGGTGGCAGGGGACTGTCACGGGGCCAGCACCTAATGGTAGAAACAGTTGCAGTTCGAACCTGATTAGGAATAACCACCAATAATTGAAAGCACACTGTCTCTAGGTAAGACTTTCCTGTTTGAAGTACTATATGCTTTACATATATATAACACATATACACGTGTGTTGTACATATAACATACCACACATGCACACACACATGCACATGCATGCAGATGAGTGTATGCTATCACAACAAGGCATGTGTGCAGTGATCAGAGGACAGTCTGAAGAAGTCAGTTCTTTCATTCCCCCATGTAGGCCCCAGAGGCAGGCTCGGGGAGTCAGGCTGGACGGCAGTGCCTTTACCAGCTGAGTCACCTCACTGGTTCTCTTTCCCGGAAACCACCACTGCTTCTCTGTTTACATACCTCTCTCTTCTTTACATTTCCTTAATAAACACGGCTGGCTTCATCTTCTATTTCATGATTCTGTTGTGCTTCTGGGAGGAATGATAACATGCTTACATAGCTATAGCAACAACAGTTTACTGTGTGTGTGTGTGTGTGTGTGTGTGTGTGTGTGTGTACAGATGAAAAACCCCTTACCTCGTGGTTACCTGTTGGCATCACCAAGTGGAATGGTGTGAAGTTTGGCCAATGTACCATTTTAAACTTTTAACTATCCAGGGTGGGAACAAATCTCACCATGTACTCCCTCCACCTAAGGTTGGGGATGGAATCCAGGGCCTTCCTTGTGCTAGGCAAATGTTCTATCCCTAGCTCATCCTTCTATTTGCAATAAACCTCATCTATCTTCAACTAGCTCCTTTTCAAGGTGTATTTCCCCCAGTTCTGCTATAGGAAGGGACTACGCTACACTGAAACTGTCACCCTGCAGCATGAGGGACATCAGTTGCCTTCTCAGTCTATCTTCACCCCAACACAAGACTTGACACATTGCCACATCCGGGATAACTGCCTGCCTCACCGGCCCCTCCCTCTGCTATACCTTACCCCTGCCCTGCCCCTGCCCCTGCCCCTGCTCCCCACCTAGTCTTTTAGGTTGATCATATACATTCGTTTTCTGCTTTGTTTGTGGTTTGTTGTTAAATTCCTCAGGTGGTGGACTAAGATTTCCACAGCAAAAACAGCAGCAGCAGCAGCAGCAGCAGCAGCAGCAAGTTAAAAGGCAGCAAAGGATGACCAGTGTCTACAAGATAGGAAAGAGGTCATGGTCCCCCGTTCCTTTTGCAGTTCCATGCGGGAGCCCCCAGCCCTCCATCCTCACACACAGAAAGTGAGAGCAGAGGCATTTGTTTTGAGAAGGCAGCCCTTCATTCCCTACTCTGTTGACACAGACAGGATCTTACTGTGTGGCCCAGGCTACCCAGTGCCTCCCAAGGCCTGGGCTCGGAGGCATGTGCCACCACAGCTGGCTCCACCTTATTTTATGTGTGGGTGTTCTGTCTCCATATATGTCTGTGTACTATATGCATATCTGGTGCCCAGAGAAGCCAGATGATGACTGTGGATCCCTGGAATGGGAGTTACGTAATGTTGTAAGCCACCACATACGTGCTGGGAATCGTATACCCAGGTCCTCTAAAAGATCAATAAATGCTCCCAACTGTGAGCCATCTCTCCAGTCCCCCCCACACAATTCCTTTCTTACTTTTGAGAGAATAAGAAGAATGGTGTACCTTGAACCAACAGCTGTGCGCTATAAAATAGTATCTGACACCATCTTCACCAAAATGATCAAATAGGTATATTCCTAATGAGCCGTGCTGGTCATAGATTCTCTTCTTGGTAGGGTCACTGAGCACAGCATGGGCTGTGTTGATCTCTTTGAAGAATTCTGCTGCTTGAATGTCCCCTGGATTCTTGTCTGGATGATACTGCAAGGCCAGTTTCCTACCCAGGCAATACCCAAAGGACAGTGGGGAGGGTATAGGAAGTGACTGAGCTGGGAGGGTTGGGATGAATGGCAGAGTTAGGTCTTAGATGATGCAAGGGGCACTTGAGATATGGTACAAAGGATAGAGGCAAGGGCTATGTTTCTTCCAGTGTCACACTGAGGAAGGGATGGCTTTCTTTGGTCCCCAGATAAAAGCTTCTTAGAATTAAAAAAGGAGGTTCCAATGATGGCAAAGGGGTGGGGGAGGAAACAGCAGGGTTGAATAAAGGGTAAGGGTCTGAACCTGTAGGCTTTTTTGATCTCTTCAGGCTGGGCCCCTCTCTTTATTCCTAGCACTGCATAGAGGCTTGTTCCAGTCTTGGAGAGTTGCCGGGGTGTATCATCTGGATGAGGCATGCTCTGGGCCAAAAGAACAAAACTTACAAGATGGTCTTCTATGGCTCCTGTGACCTGAATCAGAAGGATGCAAATGTGAAAGATGTATGTCTTCCCCTCACTTTCCCGGTGTCCTCCACGTACCACACAGTCTAGAGAGGCCTAACAAGGAGAGGGAGGGCTAAGATGACCAAGACAATGATTTTGTCTAAAGCTCTTTTATCTAAGTAAACCGCCCTACTCATGTCCAAGCTGGTGGCTGGGTTTGAAAAACCAGGGTAACACAACCATTAAATAGGGGTGGATCACAAATCAAGAAAAACCACAATAGCTGGGGGAGAACTAGCCAGACCAAAGCCTGCTGTGGGGATGGGGGTCGGTGGAGGGTGGTCGGGTTCAGGTTCAGGACCCCAGCAGGGCCTAGGCCAAAGATGCTTTCCCCTCAGTCTCTAGCCATCTCACTCACCTCAACCCCTCAGAGAGGCCACAGCAGTGAGAGCAAGATGACTCCCTGGACAGAGGGAAGCCTATAGGAGCTGCTGTAGAGGACACACCCTGAGGGGTCCACGACAGGTCCCAAGAGAGTGAGGTGGGAGGCCTGGGAGGCCCGGAGGCCCCAGGAGGAGCCAGGGCAACACCATGGGAGCTCTGGGTGTGTTGGGACAACCAAGCTTTGTGTCGACTCCCTACCTAGCTCTTTACCTCAGAATTGGTCTGTTAAGCCAGGTAGACCTCACACAAGCTTTCTTCCTCCTGGTGGGTGCGAAGCTTCATTCTGGGGCTGGGTCTGTGGCCAACTGCGCTTGCGCACTTTGTACCAGCAGCGAGTCGTTTTTTGGCGCTGCCAGGAAGACCGAGTGGAGAGTCAATATAGAGCCTGGGACTTATTTCGCTCCAGAAGCCTGACCCTCAGGCCCAGGGCTGGGCGTTACTTCCAGTCCCCGGGGCACAGGCACAGCCTTCCACATCACCCCTCTTCTCCAGGGAGAAGGCCATGACCATCCCGATCACCGTAATGGCTCTTCAACTCACTCACGGAACAAGTACGGGCTTGGTGACCTGGCAGATGAGAGGTATGGCAGGGATTATCGGTCCAGATTTCCTAAATCTTCACAGGGTCCTTTTTATTTCCCTCACACCTAGAAACTTCTCTACAGACGTTGAGACTTCACCTCTAAGTGCCAGTGTTCTGGAAAATCTGTCCTTCGCCCCTCAGTGGTCCCCACCTTGTCAAGGCACTTACTCCATCAGACTGTTAACAGTTCGTTGGCACATCCCATAAAAATGATATTTTTGGTCCTTTCCAAAAGTCACTTCACTACCATGCTTCTATAAAAAGGAGATACCATAATGTAATTATATAACTAGATTACATATTGAGTTGTTTATTACTTGATAGTATATATTAACCCTTTTCATGAAAATGCTTATAGACACCCTTGAACAGATTTCTGATTTCTTTCTTTCTTTCTTTTTTAATTTTCGAGACAAGGTTTCTCTGTAGCTTTGGAGCCTGTTCTGGAACTCCCTCTGAGGACCAGACTAGCCTTGAACTCACAGAGATACCCCTGCCTCTGCCTCCCAGTGCTGGGACTAAAGGTGGGTGCCACCACTGTCCAAATTTCTCATTTTTGTCTAAGGATAGAGTAGTAGAAATGGAGCTATTGAGTCAAATTGAAAGAAAAAAGATAAGAAACGTGGTGTGTGTGTGTGTGTGTGTGGTGTGTGTG